CAGCCGCGCTGGCCTCGCGGCAGATGTCCTGGCCCCGGGCCTGGCCCCGCGGACACCCCGCCCACCGGCCGGGCGGCGCGCTCCTGCTCCTGCGCTCCGGTCCCAGGCGCTCGGGGAGCGTCGCGACGGTCACCTAGGCCCCCAGAGATGGAAGGGCAGATCTCACTAGGATGGCCGCCTTCCTGGACTCTTCAAGGACCTTGCTCTGGACCCGAGGGGGATCTTGGCTGCTCCTCTGGAGCGGGGAGGGGTGAAATGCAGGGGTCCCTTTGGTCCCCAGAGATGGGAGGGGGAGCGCGGTTCTGATCATGTATAGCTGGAAGAAAGTGACCTCGACATGGCCATTTAGGGTCTGTTGAGAAGCACAACTGCTCTCATTGAGTCTCCAAACTGAGCTCCTTGAGGACAGAACAGGATCGAGTTCTAATTCCTTCTTAAAACCTCAGTACCTGGGTGCAAAGTAGTGGTTTAATAAGTGGATTGAATCCAGAATGAGTACAATAATGAAAATGCTCTCAAACGGAGAACTAGGTATAAGCAGTTCCTAATAGACCTCCTCACTCCTTAGCTTTTAATTCATTTAATAAATATTGAGTGCCTACTATGTGCAAGGCAAACTGTATAAGATACAGCAAAAACAAGACAGGCTGCCCTCAGGACCTTCGCTCATCTGCAAGGAGGCACAAGCTTGTATTTAAATAACTTTAGAGTGACAAATGCTATGAAAAAGATAAAATGGAGTGATGTGATAATAACCGGAAAGAGGATTACGGGTGGTCAGAGAAGGCCTCTTCCATTTGAGCGAAGACCTAGAATTAATGAAGAAGCAGCTATAAGAAGGTCTGGTCTGGAGCAGGCAGACCAGAGTCTGCATTCCAGGCAGAGGGCACAGCCAAATTCAAAGGCTTAAGGCAGGAATAAACTCGCCAAATTTGAGGAACAAGAAGCAGGCCATTGTGACTATAGGGATAGTGGTAGATGAGGCTGAAAAGGTAGATTGGAACCAGATCACAAAGGTCCTTTTAGGCCACAGTAACAGGTGTGGGCTCCTCCCACTCCATTTTGTACACTGTGGCCAAATTAGCATTTCAAGAGTAAGTACAGTCATGTGCAGCATAATGAGGTTTTGGTCAACAATGGACCGAATATACATAAGATTAGTACCATATAGCCTAGGTGTGTAGTGCGCTATACCATCTAGGTTTGTGTAAGCACATGCTATGATGTTCACTATGAAATCGCCTAACAACGCATTTCTCAGAATGTGTCCCTGTCATTAAGCGACGCATGACTGTACCTCTTTCAGACACCTCTTTTGCTCAGAACTCTCCACATTCCCCAATGCCTTCCAAATATTCTTAGCATGATATTCAAAGCCTTCCATAATCTAACCTTTTCCTACCTTTAAAGCCTGTTTCATTATGTCCTGGCTAAATTTTTTACTTCAGCAAATCAACCTATTTGTTAGCCCCTGCACACACCTTGTATATTTTCATTTCATACCCTTCTCTTTTTTTTTTTTTTTAATTTTATTTTATTTATTTTATTTTTTGCCCCCAAAGCCCCAGTAGATAGTTGTATGTCATAGCTGCACACCCTTCATAGTTGCTGTATGTGGGACTCGGCCTCAGGATGGACAGAGAAGTGGTGCCTCGATGCGCACCCGGGATCCGAACCCGGGCCACCAGCATCGCAGTGCACGCACTTAACCACCAAGCCACAGGGCCGGCCCAATATACCCTTCTCTTTACTTTAAATTTTATTAAAGTAATATGTGTGGCCAGCCCCCATTTCCTTTTATTTTTAAATGATTTCATCTCTTTGCAAGATTTTGTTAACATTATTTCCAACCTTTCTCCTATCCAATTGGATAGGTAAAATATTCCCGATTGAAAATTCAAGTACATAAGGATGGATGTACAGTCTCTTTCCTATTTGGTTCTGTAGTCCTCAAGCTCTCAAAAGGAAATAATTCATTTACTTATTTTTAATTTCTAAGAACTCTTTTGTTCTCCAATTGTTCCTTTTTATAGTTCTTTCTTCACAGACACAATATCTTTCCTCTTTGAGTTTTGAGAATACTAATTATAGCTTTCCCCTCCTGAAGTTTTCAAAAAGCTCCCTACTTTGTCACTGTTTCCTTGGTTTCAATTTTCTGTGTTTTGGTCTCTGCCTTTCACGCTGGAAGTTTCCTCAAATGTTTGATGGCCCTAAGCAGTCTATTCACGTTTAAGAGTGAGATACTAAAAAGCTGATTGGGAGCTCTGTCCATGCATACGGCTTATTAACTAACACGCTTCACTGTAGGGTGATCCAGTGGGGGAAAGATGACTTCTCCCCAAATAAATAAAAATGTTAAGTATTTGCAGGTCCTTTTTCTGCAGTTGTTCAGTTTGTTTTCGCCTGGGAATATAAGTCGGTGTATGCTGATATTCAGAGCCTTACCACTCATATACTATCACTTAATCCCTCATTTTCAATCTAGCCCCTCACCCGCATCTCTACCATGTCTGCTGTTGAGTCCAGAGGCTCTAATAGTTTACGTATTCCCTGAGGTTCTGAAATTTCATGGGGCTATTTCATTCATTATGCTGGGTGCTCATGGGCTCTGTCAGTCTGGAAACTCATGACCTATGGGTTTAGGAAACCTTTGTAAATATTTCTTTGATAATTTCCTCCCCATCGTTTCTCCAAAGACTCAATCTCCCATTTCTTGCAGGAGAGAAGTTGCGGTAATCACCTGGCTGGATCAGATGAGGGGGACCTGGGGGGCTTTTTCTTAAACAGATCTTTTTCGGATTTCCTTCCACCTCACCTCTAGCTCTCAGCCCCAATCCTTACCCCCTCTGCTGAGCCTTTTCTGGGTCCAGAAGGGCACACTGGTTTGCTTCTTGTTAATAACCACCTCAGCAGGTAAAACCCATCTCATTCTGCTCTGCCAGGTCAACTTTCACTCTTCCATTTATTTTTCATTTTCCAAAATGTTGATGTCTCTCATTCATTGTCATCACTTCCTGTTTTCCTTATCATTGAATCATGTGCCTTTTTTGAAGTCCTTTACTGGCATTTGAACGGGTTTTGGAGGGAGTAAAAAGCCCATGTCTTTAATTTGCACATTTAAGTAGAAATCCTTGGCTTTGCTTTTGCCATTCTACCTTTTCTGTTTTTTAGGCCACTCAAGCATCACAATCCTGTAAGCCTTCCCTAATCACCCCAACTGGAAGGACCCTCTTCCTCCTAAAAAGTTCTATAGGCCACTTCTGATCTCTGCCACCCATTAGGTACAAATCAGAGGTGCCCTATAATTATTTGTATTTAACTGCCCCTATTAGGTCCATGCCATAAACAGAAACTGAGATTTATTGAATAAGAAAAGTAAATTAAGTCAAACCCCGGCCAGCCTGTCTTTTCTTCTTTAGAAATACTCAGTAATGCCCCTTCAAACCCCTGAGTACAGTTCAGTATCCTCTTCCTCAGCTTATTCCTTTCCACCCAAATGAAATGAAGAAAGGCAACCATTTTATCTATGATGTCCAGGAGGGCTACCTGTTACCAGTAACATTTGCCACAGTTTAAGTGTCAACAGAGTAAGGGTTATAGGAAGGCAACCAAGAGCTCAAAAAGATGAGCTAGAAGGGCATGTCTCATGGTTGAGGTTAGAGGAGACAATACAGCAAACTGACAAATTCCAGCTTTAGAGTCCAATAACAAATCCTGGCTCTATCAATTACCAGTTATGGGACCTCTTTGAACTTCAGGCTCCTCATCTGAAAATGGGGATAAGACCTACCTCACAGGGCTGATGTGAAGGTTAACTAAAATAACACATGAAAAATATTTAGCAAAAAAAAAGCAAAATGCCTATCATACAGTAATCAGTCTCTCAATATCAGAGGAAAGCCCATTTCACAGGATCTTCCTCTGTCTTAGGATATCCATTGCTGGCTTGGGGTTATATTTGCCTGTGAGGGCCATTTCCCTTTACCTGGACACTGAATAAGCTGAAGCAGAAAGAATTCTGGATTATGAGGCTCAAGTCCTGGATTATGAGGCTCAAGTCCTTAGCTTTACCCCTCAGGAGTCATGAGACCTTGAGCAAATTTCCTTTTCTTTAAGATGAAAAGTAGCTCAGCTTCCCTGACAGCAGTACTGGATCAACTGGACAAAGTACATGAGGGACTGGTAGGTGGTTAATGGACTGACTTACACTTGGCATCATCACCCTCTGGCAGAAAAGTGTTTGGACTAGGACTCCCTACGGAAAAAGGCTCAGGCACACCACCTCAGGATCACAAGTTGGTCCATAGAGGCTAGAAAAGAATCTAGGCCCTCCACTATCCATGAGCCATGGCAATGGTCAATTAGCGAGGCACCACAGTACCACCTAGTGGCCATAATAGCCCTCTTCGCCCTCTCCCCCAGGTGTTAAGGAAAAGCTGACATGTCAGAGGTATAGAACTCTTTGGTCGCCTACTTCATCGGCTGATCAGTCAGAGCTGGAAGGAAACCAAATACACTCCTCTCTCTCTTTTTTAATATTAACAAATACAAGCAGCAGAGAGGGCCAGCTGCTCTCTGCTGTTCCCTGAGGGAACGCCAGAACACAAAGCTGTTCCTCTGGCCTTCCTCTAACTACAGGGCCTGTTTCGCTCCTCCTTA